ATAGGGAAATTCGTCTTGCGAAGCACCTCAAAAAACGGAAAACTCTTTCGTCTAGCGTATTATTATTATTATTATTATTATTATTATTATTATTATGTGCCCATTTGACAGGGTTGCCCCAGCCATTCTGGGTGGTTTCCAACATATATAAAAACATAAAAACTTAAACATAAAAATGTTCCCTATACAGGGCTGCCTTCAGATGTCTTCTAGAGGTTGTGTAGTTACTTACCTCCTTGGTTTAGGGGTGTCACATAACTCCATACCTGCCAACATTTCTCTGGTGAAAATAGGGACATCCTAAGGAAAAGTGGGAGCAATGCTACTCAATGTCAGATATACAAAAACACAGAGGGGACCAGCCTTTTGATGCTTGACTGACAGCCGCTCTCTAGGGTTTCAGACCAGGGACCGACTCAGTTCTACCCAGAGACGCCGAGGATCGAACCTCTGACTTTCTGCGTGCGAAGGAATTGCTTCCCTGTTCCTCTTCTGCTGTATTTGTGGGGGAAATCCTGTGCTCTGAAGCCAGCATGCATATTGGACAGAAAAGCCCAATTGACACCAACAGGGGATTCCACCCCTCCTTCCCATCCCATTGCAAATAACTGAACAAAATTTTCCCAGGAGTGCAGCAGATGAGGAAAGGGTTAACCCCCCCCCCCAATCTGTGATCTCAATTATTATTAGCCCACCTCTGATTATTCTAGGAAGAAAAATAACACCAGCTGTGGTTGGGTCCTCCGTTTCAAATGGCATAGACTTCCCCATGTCCCTTGTAGCTGGAGGAGAAGAGAACGGCAACGATTTCATGCCAGCATCGCAAACCTTTGGCATCACCCTGTGTTCAGGTGCCACCATTACACCTATGAAATGTAAGCCCTTTGCAAGCATTATTTATTAGTGTTTCTAGCCCGCCTTTCCCCCAGCGGCCGCAAGGTGGCAAACATGGTTCTCTCCTGCCTCTCTCTACTTCATCCTGCCCAGAAAGGTAGGCTAGGCTGAGAGACAGGAACTGGCCCAAGATCACCCAGTGAGCATCATGGCCTAGAATCATAGAATCATAGAGTTGGAATAGACCACAAGGGCCATCGAGTCCAACCCCCTGCCAAGCAGGAAACACCATCAGAGCACTCCTGACATATGGTTGTCAAGCCTCTGCTTAAAGACCTCCAAAGAAGGAGACTCCACCACACTCCTTGGCAGCAAATTCCACCGTCGAACAGCTCTTACTGTCAGGAAGTTCTTCCTAATGTTTAGGTGGAATCTTCTTTCTTGTAGTTTGGATCCATTGCTCCGTGTCCGCTTCTCTGGAGCAGCAGAAAACAACCTTTCTCCCTCCTCTATATGACATCCTTTTATATATTTGAACATGGCTATCATATCACCCCTTAACCTCCTCTTCTCCAGGCTAAACATGCCCAGCTCCCTTAGCCGTTCCTCATAAGGCCTCATTGGGATTTGAACTTTGCTCTTCCAGGCCCTAGTCCAGCACTGCAACCACTACTCCATACTGCCTGGTGCCACGTACAAAGGAGCAGGCCACACTTGCTAGCCCTGCCCCCAGTGTCCCCATGGGTACCACCTGCATTTCTGAGCTTCCCACATGGAGCAGGAACGTCTCTGGAGACTACAGTTCAAGAAGGATGTTGACAAGCTGGAACATGTGCAGAGGAGGGCAACCAAGATGATCAAGGGTCTGGAAACCATGCCCTATGAGGAGCGGTTGAGGGATTTTGGTATGCTTAGCCTGGAAAAGAGGAGACTGAGAGGAGATCCGATAGCCACCTTCAAATACCTTAAAGGCTGTAACATGGAAGAGGGAACCAGCTTGTTTTCTCCTGCTCTAGAGGGTAGGACTCGAACCCATGGCTTCATGTTACAAGAAAGCAGATTACAACTAAACATCAGGAAGAACCTTCTGATGGTAAGATTTGTTCAACAGTGGAACGGTCTCCCTAGGGAGGTTGCGGACTCTCCTTCCTTGTGTGGGATGTGAAACACAAGAGCAGTCAAGTACAACATTCCTAGAGTGAACATGTTTACACATGGGGAGGAATGTTTGTCCAGCCAGCAGGTAAATTTCCTGTTTCCTTCTGGGCTGGGACACACTTTCTCCTCATGTGACTAGAGGTGGGTGTGGCCTCACCTGTGCAGGTAATGACAAAAAGCACAGGGCAAGGCAGCCATCTCCCTCTCTCTATGACTACTTTCCTTGAAGAAGCAACATCTGCTTAGCCAAAGATGCTCTCTTGGCCTCCAGCCAAGAGAGGACAAAGGGACTGTCTCCTTATGGGATAGTTTCCAGGTGTATGTTACTTTTCTAAGCTAAGTCTGCCTTCTGGGATCCGATGGTGAACAGAATGTGAGTAAACTCTTTTTATACTTTTATAGAAGACTGTGCCTGTTATCTTTTATGAGGGAATAAGGGGAAAATACCAGAACAGTTATTATAGAGGTTTTAGCGAACCTGAACAAACGCATCCGCTGTGTGTTTAAAAAGGGGAATGTTACTCTGCTAAAATGTGAACTTGTTAACACAAGTTGGAAAGGCTATAATCAAACAGTATATCCTCTCCTGCATCCCTGAACATTCCCACACCTTGGAGGTTTTTCAGCAGAGGTTGTGTGGCCATCTGTCATGGATGCTTTAGCTGAGATTCCTGCATTGCAGGGGGTTGGACTAGATGACCATTGACGTCTCATCCAACTGTTCTGTGATTCCACGGACACAGGAATAATCTTCCCTGCGCTTGGGAACTGTAATGGTTCTAGGGGTTGCTTGTGTGTAAATCAACGCCACCCTTGGCTGGTTGCCTGAATGAACCCTTTCTGTCTGGACAGCCACGTGCCCTGTGGCTGTCTCAATCACTGGCAGAATCCGTTAGTGGGCGTTTCTTGAACTTTTCCCAGCAAAGAAGCTCTTTGACGCCTAGTCTCCGCCTACTTTCTCTGCGCGGAAGCCTTCTGCGCAGGGAGGGTGTTGGCATCGGAGGACCCGTGCTCTCCCCACTGGTTCCCGGCGAGGAGTCTTGGAGCCACCTCGCCGATTCCCCCATCTGCCCCCCTTCTCCACTGGTGTTACGCCGATTTCCTTCCCCAGAAGATGTGCTGCTTCTCTCCCTCCCGGGACGCTCTTCGGAATCCCTCTGGAGCCCTCCCTCTCCCTCTGGCTCCGATGGCAGTTCCCTGACAGGAACCTTGATATTGCATGGAGGCTCCTAAATGTATTCAGCTGAACAGGTAGATACATTCCTGCTCAGTGTGGCAATGATGGAATAGGAGCTGACATGCATAGTGGAGTTGAAGGGAGAGCTGGCATGTGCTTCTCCCTACGCAGGTTTGGGCAAGGACACCTGAATAGGGTCCTGGATTCCCTGTTAATTCGTCCACTCATTCCTTTTCTCAGAAAGTTCAGTCTGCTTGATCCCATCCCACTTTCGGAGCAAACCTTTTCCGTGTGGTACAGCCAATTTATCGGTTGTCTGTGAGTTCACCGGGGCAAATGTGCAAATTCAGCATTTGTCAAGCGTTTGGGCGGGGGATGAACAAGCAAAAACGCAAGTTTGCAAGTGTAGGAGGAAGAGGGATAAATGAAGGGGAAGCAGGCCAAGGCTTATACCAGGACAGAGAGGGACAATAGTCAACAGAAACATTATTCATCTGAACTAGCAGTCATTCCAAGCACGGCCCAAAACACAACAGGAACCTCAAACGACACAATCAACATCACATCTGGTTTGTCCCTTAGCTGAAACTGGAAGAGTGTTTGTGGATGTGAGCGAATGCTAGGGTTGGATAGACCTGTCAATTTCAGTTCCACTGTTTCTTATTTTTTTCAGTCTTCAGTTCAGCTTGCCCCATGTCCACATCACTTTGCAGAAAATAAAAATCCTCATGAGAACTCACCAGTGCTTTGGTGCATGTTTTTTTTCCATATAAACAGCTTAGCAAGCAATTTATCTTAATATAAAGCATTTTTATATGCTATGCTCACTATTTTTTTAAAATGCAAACTTTCCCCCTGATATTCATTTGTGTCCATGTTGTCAGGTCCAAGAAGTGCAGATTTTGAAGAATAGCTATGTTTTGGTTCATGTAATTTTTTTTGCGGAACTGCCAATTGAATAGGTAAAGGGACCCCTGACCATTAGGTCCAGTCGCGGCCGACTCTGGGGTTGCGGCGCTCATCTCGCTTTATTGGCCGAGAGAGCCGGCGTACAGCTTCCGGGTCATGTGGCCAGCATGACTAAGCCGCTTCTGGCGAACCAGAGCAGCACACGGAAACGCCATTTACCTTCCTGCTGGAGCGGTACCTATTTATCTACTTGCACTTTGACATGCTTTCGAACTGCTAGGTTGGCAGGAGCAGGGACTGAGCAACTGGAGCTCACCCCGTCGCAGGGATTTGAACCGCCGACTTTCTGATCAGCAAGTCCTAGGCTCTGTGGTTTAACCCACAGCGCCACCCGCGTCCCTTTGCTAATTGAATAGGTTTGCATTAAAATGTGAAATGAGCGGTACTTCTCCCCCTGTCTTTAGTGAATACACAAGAAGCTGCTCCTCTTTTATAAATATAATTTTTATAAAGCCCCTAACAAAACACAAAGCTGAAATCCTACACACGCGTGGCTGGGAGCAAGTCCGACTGATCTCAGTGGGACTTCTTCCGAGTAGACATGAATAAGATTGCACTGCCAGCCCTAAAGTGATGCCCCTGGAATGTTGCAGTACTTGGAAGTGCAAGGAGCGTGTAATGACAACATAAAAATGCTACCTGTGGCAATTAATCTGTGACGACGCATTCACATATCCAAGTCATTATTTGATGCTATATAGCCAAGAAGCAGCTCGGCAGAGTTTACGAGGGAATTTCACTAGCTGTCTTCTAACTAATGCCTGCCTGCCAACAACCCATTCTCTGGGGAATTGCAGGCCCCAGGCTAATAATTAACATCCTCCAGGGATTAATTGACCAAAGGGCACCAATACAAATAAGTCCTCTGTTTTGTGCTGGTATCCTGCAGTTGCCTGAGTGCCAGAGAATCAGTGCAACCGACTCAGGTGAGTCAGTTCAAAAAGTGGAGGGGATTTGGGGCCTATAGGTATGGGGCTGGTGGAAGGCGAGATATAAAGTCTATTTCGGATGGTGAATTATTAACTAACTGGAAGGATAAGACAAAGAAATAAAGAGAGAGGAGTGGTAGCTAATACAGACATTCCTAGACTATGTTGTAAACAAAAAATTGCCCTTTTCCCCTTATGGGGTATCCAAGAGCCCATATAGAGTCCTTAAGGGGGTTCCCTATTGGTAGGAGAGAATAACAGAGGCCAACCAGAGAATATTGAGAAGCAAAGCAGCTAGTAAGCTTGATCTTTATTGATCTGTTGCAACAGGGTGCTCCCCTCACCCGCAGGAGAGAGGAGGAACCCAGAAAAATGGCGCTCAAGGCCTTATAAAGACTTTTGAATTTGCCACCCTGTAAATCAAGACCCTATTATGGGACGCGGGTGGCGCTGTGGGTAAAAGCCTCAGCGCCTAGGGCTTGCCGATCGAAAGGTCGGCAGTTCGAATCCCCGCGGCGGGGTGCGCTCCCGTTGCTCGGTCCCAGCGCCTGCCAACCTAGCAGTTCAAAAGCACCCCTGGGTGCAAGTAGATAAATAGGGACCGCTTACTAGCGGGAAGGTAAACGGTGTTTCCGTGTGCGGCTCTGGCTCGCCAGAGCAGCGATGTCACGCTGGCCACGTGACCCGGAAAGTGTCTCCGGACAGCGCTGGCCCCCGGCCTCTTGAGTGAGATGGGCGCACAACCCTAGAGTCTGTCAAGACTGGCCCGTACGGGCAGGGGTACCTTTACCTTTACCTTAGATCAAGACCACCCCCAGAAACATCATACATACATCACAGAAGGGGTGTAACCTAAGACCACCCCTCAGATACATCACAGCTACATCACAAAAAAGGCGGTCTAAAACAGAAATTTTGAATGTTGTTTTTCTCCTGTGATTGTTTATCTCCTGTCTGGCAGGTTACTTGATTGGATTTCCTGAGGAGCCTGGCTAATCTTTTGTAATGATAAATACTTAGTTCCTGGGCCAGGTCACAGGCTCACACCCTATTCATATCTTAAATGTGCCCTTAAGACAGGATTTGTGAGGAAAGAGACAATGGGGATGTTTCCCACTTTGACCTTGCAGAGAAAACATTTGCCTAGTTTAGGAATCAAAATGGTTCCAGGTCTGTCTTCCTGTGCTGATCTATGTACATGCTTGGTTGGTACGCTTATGAACATTACCATATATCTAAGACCTCAAAATTCCTATCACAACTACAACACCCATCATCTCTGACAACATATGGATGGCAGATGGGTAAGGATGGAAGGATTAGTCAATCTCGCTCACATTTCCAATCTTAAACTCAGTTCTTCATGTTTCTGCAGCAAGTGGTGGATTTTGTTTTTAAATACCCATGGAAATTCTTCAACATTTTAGTACGGATTTCTTCGGATGAACACAAGTTTGCATGCAGTTTTGACTAATTTTTGCGAGCAATTTCCTGTGATATAATGAATTTCTGTATGTTGTTTTAATGAATACATTCATTTTAAACACACTTGCCCCCTTAATATATACATTTTTGTAAACCTTGGGTGGTTAGAGGAATGCATCGCAACATTCAGAAAAATGCAAATTTCGAAAGATGGGGCGTTTCGGTTCTCGTATTGTTTTGGAAAGTGTGATAGATTCAGTTTTAAATGCAAAGGCAATGTTTTAATGGAAAGAAGGAGAAGTCCCAATGAAAAAAGAATGGTTACAAAAACGAAAATGGCAAAACGTACTGGAAAAATAAGAACTCAAGATAACAAACTTCTTATAAAAGAATGGAAATGGTTTATTGGATATTTACAAACAAACTGTGAACAGATAAGAACAGTGGCAGGCTTAATGTAATAACCTGCAGTTTTATAAGAGTATACATTTAAAGTAGATGAATAAATGTTTAAGTTAATTTGGAATATGCAGGAAATATAAAAAATAAATTTTAGGAAGCACAGGAAGAGGGGGGAAGGAAGTCAAGTTTAGAAATGTTAAAATTATAGTAAAATTATTGAAATGTATAATATATATATATATATATATATATATATATATATAATCTACTCTACGCCAAACCATAGGTTCCTCACCCTTGATATAGAGGCAGGCGGTGTCAATGGTGGCAGAAGTGGAACAAAATGTAAAAGAGAAGAAACAGGGATGCACTATTCAAAGGATGAACAGGGAAGGAAAGACAGGCATATTTTCTCAGGGCTCCTTCACACGCATGCCTATCACGTGACGAAGCAACATCCACTGATGTCTTGCAAGCGCTATCATACCATCTCAAAACACAAATGCTTTTCAGCGGAATCCATTCACACAGATCCAGCTGCGGCTGATCAATTAAATGAGTAATGAGAAATCTAGGGGGTGTGAAGGTGAAGAATCGGCTCTTAAATTCAAATAGCTGCTCACTCTGAAGTGTCAAACGGCACAGGAGCTCTTTCTCTCTTTGTACATCTTTTTATATGTGCGCACACAGAGAGCACTGCAGGCGGATGCTTAACCTGTACAAACATGCAATCCACTTTAAAATTTACAATGGGTTTTCATATTTGCTTTATGCAAATATTATTGCTACAATTAATATTTTTCGCCTTGGGAATCAAAATGAAGATGGAGCAGTGAGTGTTTTGCCCAGTGGTGAATTTGGGGTGCAATCCTGCATATCAACGATGGCCCTCAAATATTACTGGACTACAACTCCCATCGTCCCTGACCATTGGGCATGCTGACGGGGCCTGATGGGTGTTGGGATCCAGCAATGACTGGAGGGCCAGAAGTTGCTCTGCTGTGTACACTTACGTACCTTCAAGTAAATACCACTAAACTCTAGGGGCCTCAAGTTTCTAGAAGACACGTATAGGATTTCACTGTTAGATCTGTGGCATAAATATGGGTAGGCAGTCAACGCTTTCAGTCCCTGATCCATGCTTCTCTGCAGTGAACAATATCACATATCTGTTGTTTTCTTAAACCAGAACAGGCAGAATGTCCGGGGACCTAAGGAGAAGACGGGTTGGAATTGTGGGCTATGGGCATCTAGGTAGGTGGTGTTTCTTGACAATTTCCCTCCTCTGTCCATCTGATTCTTAAGATGGCTTTCCTAGGCAATGTGTTTTCTCCCTTTGTTGAGTACCTTTTCTCACTGTCCAGTCCTCTATTATGTCTTTTATTTCAAAATAAAATTTAAAACACACACACACAATGTGTTTCATAAAACAATTTATCCTGTCTTGGTTTGGAAAAGACCTGATGATTCTCAGAATACTTGTTATATTGCCATGTCCATGTAACATTTGGAGGTGTGGCCCACAAACTTGATGATAAGAGTCTTCTGTACAAGTGAGTTTGTGGGCCAGAGTGGCTGAGAAACTGAGAGACCTGATGGATCCTTCCACCCATGCCTCACCATTGACTACCCTGGCTGGGGCTGATGGCAGTCCGACAACATTGGGAAGGGTGCAAGTTCCTCATTCCTGCTAAATTATTTGTTTCTCTGTGTGGCCCTGCCATTGATTTGTGCTGGAGGTGAAAGCTATTGGGGAAGTTCTCTACTTCTAAATGTACAGATACGCGGGTGGCGCTGTGGTCTAAACCACTGAGCCTCTTGGGCTTGTCAATCGGAAGGTTGGCGGTTCGAATCCCTGCAATGGGGTGAGCTCCTGTTGTTCTGTCCCAGCTTCTGCCAACCTAGCAGACACCAGTACAAGTAGATAAACAGGTACTGCTGTGGCGAGAAGGTAAACGGAGTTTCTGTGTGCTCTGGTTTCCATCATGGTGTTCCGTTGTGTCAGAAGCGGTTTCGTCATGCTGGCCACATGATCTGGAAAGCTGTCTATGGGCAAACGCCGGCTCCCTTTGCCTGAAAGCGAGATGGGCGCTGCAACCCTATAGTCGCCTTTGATTAGACTTAACCATCCAGGGGTCCTTTACCTTTACAGTCATACCTTGGGTTGAATGTGCTTCAGGTTGAGCACTTTCGGGTTGCTCTCGTTACTTCCGGGTTTCGCCACACACCCATGCGCAGACGCTCAAAATGACGTCATGCGCAGAAGCGGCAAAACACGACCCGCGCAGACGCGCTGTCGCGTCTTACGTTCTATTCAGGATGTGAATGTGGCTCTGGAACGGATCCCGTTCGCATCCTGAGGTACCACTGTACTTCTGAATGTATTACTTCTTTAAGAAGAAAATAATTGCTTTGCAGGATCAGAATAATATCTTCCTGTTTTCCCACTGTGTCCAGACAGATCCTTCTTGGCATTCACAAAACAGGGCATGGAAACTGATTCCTTCACTGGGAACTCGAAAAGATGCCACCCAAAGGACAAAAATGAGCTCTGCATCCTAAGAGAACACCATTTCTCTCTCTCTCTCTCTCTCTCTCTCTCTCTCTCTCTCTCTCTCTGTCTTTGTTGTGATGTTAGTCTGTGTCAGAGTTTGAGAAATCCTGGGAAATAATGCCAGGATTTAGTAGACGGGCCTCAGCAAGAAACAGATTTGATGGGGCAGCAGGTGTTTGAGACACAGAGCCAAGTTCCTGGATCTGTGATACTTTTCTGTTCCACTTTCTGTCTCCAGGCCAGTACCTGGTAAAACAGCTACAAGATGACGGACTCCGACATGGGCTGGAGCTGGCCTTTGTTTGGAACCGGGACGCCAGGAAGCTGGTGGGGACAGTGCCAGAGGAGCTGCAGCTGGGGAAGCTGACGGACTTCTTGGAGCGGTGAGCAAGCAAGCCCAGCCAGGACCTGGCTGCTTTCACACATGTGTGTAATGGTGAGGATAAAGAAAATGAACCACCATGAACCATGGGTGTAGCCAAGGAGGAGGAAGGGAGGGGCAGCTGCCCCCCAATAGATAAAAATACATAGCCGAGGTTCTGCTCCCCTAACAAAAGGCCTGCCCCCCCATACAAAAATCTTGGCTATTCCCATGCCACAATACTTTGAGATAAACACTCAGCCTGCAATCCCCTGTACACCTACCTGGGAGTAAAAAAGGTAAAGGTAAAGGTACCCCTGCCCGTACGGGCCAGTCTTGTCAGACTCTAGGGTTGTGCGCTCATCTCACTCTATAGGCCGGGAGCCAGCGCTGTCTGCAGACACTTCCGGGTCACGTGGCCAGCGTGACAAGCTGCTTCTGGCGAGCCAGCGCAGCACACGGAAACGCCGTTTACCTTCCCGCTGGTAAGCAGTCCCTGTTTATCTACTTGCACCCGGAGGTGCTTTCGAACTGCTAGGTTGGCAGGCGCTGGGACCGAACGACGGGAGCGCACCCCGCCGCGGGGATTTGAACCGCCGACCATGCGATCGGCAAGTCCTAGGCGCTGAGGTTTTACCCACAGCGCCACCTGCGTCCCACTTACCTGGGAGTAAGTCTCATCAATCTCACTGGCACTTGCATCCAAGTAAGGGGGAATTTATCTGTCCATTTCACTTTTTGCAATCTTAAATTTTGGTTTCCCCACCTTTCTGCATCAGCCTGTGATATATATACAGTCGTACCTTGGTTGTCAAACGCTTTGGAACTTGGACGTTTTGGCTCCCAAATGATCGAAACCCGGAAGTGACTGCTTTCGAACGTTCTTTCGGAAGCCGAACATCTGGCTGGGCTTCTGATCGGCTGCAGGAGCTTCCTGCAGCCAATCAGAAGCCACAATATGGAAGTCAAATGCTTTGGAAGTCCAACGGACTTCCGGAACGGATTCCATTTGACTTCCAAGATATGACTGTATATGTTTTAAGTCCTCATGAAAATTCACCAGCATTTTAGTGCAATTTCTTCTAACAGACAATATAATTTTTTGTATAATATATACATTTTTGCAACAAAGCATCCCCTAATATATTTTTATATGTTATTTTCATATTTTCATACACATCACTTACCTGGAGAACTGCGTTGCAAAATTCAGAGGAGTGTGAATTTCAAAGGATGCGTTTCAGTTCATATATGATTTTGGAAAGTGTGAATTATGTAGGTTTACCTTAAAATGTGAATTGAGTCTCATTTCTCCCCCATCTCTGCATCCACGTAAGCAGTCCTAGGATTGCACTGACCATTCACAATGTTGCCATAGATCATTGACAGAGCAGATACTTTGCATGCCAAAGGTTTTGTTGTTGCTGTTGTTGGTACCCCACCCATCTGACTAGGTTGCCCCAGCCACTCTGGGTGGTTTCCAACATTATATATATATATATACACACACACACACACACACACACACACACACATTTAACATTAAAAAAAACTTCCCTATACAGGGCTGCCTTCAGATATCTTCTAAAGGTTATCTCCCTGATATCTGATGGGAGGGTGTTCCACGGGGTGGGTGCCACTACCGAGAAGGCCCTCTGCCTGGTTCCCTGTAACGTCACTTTTTGCAGTGAGGGAACTGCCAGAAGGCCCTCGGAGCTGGACCTCAGTGTGCGGGCTGAGTGATGGGGTGGAGACACTCCTTCAGGTTTACAGGCCCGAGGCCTTTTAGGGCTTAAAAGGTCAGCACCAACACTTGTGCTTGGAAACGTGCTGGAAGCCAATGTAGGTCTTTCAGGACCAGTGTTATATGGTCTCGGAAGCCGCTACCAGTCACCAATCTCGCTGCCGCATTCTGGATTAGTTATAGTTTCCAAGTCTCCGGGTTTCAAAGGAAGCAGCTCCTCTCCCTCCCTCCCTGCCGGCCAGGGAGGAGGGAGGCTCCAACTGTGTTGCTTGGCTGCGTTGCTCACCCAATAAGGAGTCTAAGAAGGACTGGGGGGGTGGAGCTTGCATGCTTTGTGCCGATCAAATTGGCCGCATTGCCTGGGGACTCGCCTTTGCTCAGCGCTTCCCAGCAGAGAGGTGAAAGTGGTTTTCCTTGCTGCATCCCCTTTGCCGGGTTGCTGTGCTGTGGGAACCACCGCTTGAGGCTTTGTTTGCCTGCTGGCTGGGCTTTCTGCCTTTGGCTCGGAGGGGCTCAGAAGTTGAACATACCTGTGTTCTGAAAATCCCTTAGTTTGGCTGCTGATCCCTTATTTTCGAGTCTGCTGGTCCCTTATTTTCAAATCTGTAAGTTGACAGCTATGGTGGGGGACCAGATTGCCATTCCCCACACTAAGGTTTGGCTTGGACCCTCATCCACAGTGTCCTTGGCACAATTACAAATCCAGCCATCTTACCATGCCTCTCTCCTCTCTCCAAAGGCGGGCTGACGTCATCATTGAAGTGGCCCATCCCTGCATTGTCCAAGATCACGGGGAGTCCTTTCTGAAAGCTGCAGATTTCATGGTAAGGGCTGCAGGTGCCTTCAGAAAGAGGCATCTGGCACCAGGACACCCCCTTCAAGGTGTGGTTAGTTAGATCGCCTTTCTGACCTTGGCTTGGTTCAATGAGAATCATTGTTCTCTCCCCCCCCCACTTCTACCCTGCCCCAAACACATTTTTATTCTTCCCATCAACACAATCCCCTGGGTGATATACAAAACGTGTCCCCCCCACAAGGTAGAATAGAAAATAGAATCTAAATAAAGCAAAAGCCAGTATTAAACAAATATCTCCTCCGTCAACAAAATCAGCATAAAATCCATATGACATAGCCTAAAACCCAGCATCAAAAGATCTAAATTGCATGATACAGGTAGTATTGAAAGAGCTAGGAGAATAAAAAGGGTCTTCACTTGACACAGAAAAGGTGTTATTGCAGTAGCCAGGTGAGTCAGTCTGGGGGGAGTGTTCCATAACTTTCCCCCGCCCCAGGGGCCACCTGCATCCAGAGAAGTGCTTCTTGTCTCAATCATAGAATCACGGAATTGTACAGCTGGAAGGGACCTCTAAGGGCCATCTAGTCCAACCCTCTGCAATGGAGGAATCACAGCTAAAGAATCTCTAACGCAGGCTTCCTCAAACTTGGCCCTCCCGATGTTTTTGGCCTACAACTCCCATGATCCCTAGCTAGCAGGACCAGTGGTCAGGGATGATGGGAATTGTAGTCTCAAAACATCTGGAGGGCTGAGGTTGAGGAAGCCTGCTATAACAAATGCCCACCTAACCTGTCTCAAAACTTCCAAAGGAGGAGAGTCCGCCATCTTCCGAGGTGGCCTGTTCAGAATGCTCTCCCTAAAGTTTTCTCGGGTTCTCCTTTCTTCTCATTTTCATGCATTGGTTTGAGTCCTCCCTTCCGGAGTAGCAGAAAACAAGCTTCCTCCATCTTCCATGTGACAGCCCTTCAGATATTGGAAGGTGGCTACCATGTCACTTCTCAATCTTCTCTTCTTCAGGCTGAACATACCCAACTCCCTCAACCATTCCTCATTAGGCTTCCAGACCCTTTATCATGTTGGCCACCTTCCTCTGCACACTTTCTGGCTTGTCAATATCCAAGTCACCTGGAAGCAAATGAACCTAGCCATGTGTTGGCAGCTGGCTTCATTTTTGTTTATTTTTTAATGTTCTGGGCTGGCAAATTGTAAGTGAGGCTGTTCTGATGCTGTTTGTATAACATAAACTGTCCTGCAGATTTTGCCCTTTCTTTACATTTGTCAATGGTTCTGCACTGTGCAATAGTGTCGTTGTGAACCAGTTTTACTGTGACCAGCCATTGGCATTGTGTGTGTGTGAGAGAGAGAGAGAGTGAGAGTGAGCGCGCGAGAGAGAGATTTCTCTCACCTACAGTGGTGCCTCGCAAGACGAAATTAATCAGTTCCGCGAGTCTCTTCGTCTTGCAGTTTTTTCGTCTTGCGAAGCACGGCTATTAGCGGCTTAGCGGCTATTAACGGCTTAGCGGCTTTAAGAAAAAGGAAACAAACTCGCAAGAACCATAGGGAAATTCGTCTTGCGGAATGACTCAAAAAACGGAAAACCCTTTCGTCTAGCGAATTTTTCATCTTGCGAGGCATTCGTCTTGCGGGGCACCACTGTATTTATTTTGTAAAGCTTTGTTTTGTTCTGCTAACAGCATAGTTCTGGTCTAGAGCTGAGAAATTTATAAAAATAACCACAGGAGCATTTAAACATCACACAGTTTTATTTATAGGGACCAGACAAAACACAAGAACCTCCGAACACTCCAGATGATTTCTGGTGTCCGGACAGAAGGCCTGCAATAAACAGAGACAATTTGGGCTTGTCCTATTAAGGAAACATGCGTGTTCATTTTCATTCAGCCTCCCTCCACCCCTCGCCCACGATTCAAACCTCACAAATCTAGCATCTGTCTTTCTCCGCTTCTGCCGGCAAAGTTTCTCATCTCAGCCTTGACTGTGTTGTGCAAATAGATTTTTCTTTTGTCTTCCTATATGCTCTTGTGGTTAGAGCCTGCACAATAATAATAAAAAAACCCCAAACAGTTCTGCAGCTGCTCCAAATCACTTAAAAATAAACAACCCCCCAAATTAACTTTTGGCTCAATAGATGATGCTGATGGTTCTGTTGCCTTTGGGAGATGCCTGTGAAATGGGAGGCAGGAATGGAACCACACAACAGTCGCAGGTGGTGCTTCCTTGCCTCTTCAAAAGAGAGGGTGGAGAGTGATTTCGACTAGTACGCTTTGCATGGTTGTCCATCGCTTGGATGCTGAATCTCAACAGGTGGCAAATGGACCAGATCCGAGGTCCTGAGGGCTCCCCTTCCTGCTTCACATTTTCTTTCCACACCTAGGAAACTGCCTGATGTTTAATCAGGGCACTCACTGATTCCCCCTTGCTCAGTACTAACTACACTGGGGGTGGCTGACGTGGTGTCTTCCAGACTTTGGCTATGCCACAGAAATATCTCTGTTCCCGCCTCTCTCCTCCTAAGACCTCCCCTTCTTAAAACCCTTGCCCCTGTCAGGAGGTCCTACACACGAGTAGGAGTCCGGCAGAGACACATGCCCGACTGGCATGTTCTCTCCCTCCTGGTCGTTCGTTCGGGAGATTCAAAAGCTTTCTCCAGCCCGAACATCACAGCGACTGATACCTAAGGGACATCAGCACACTTTAGGATCAGCAGAGTATACAGTGGTGCCCCGCAAGACGAATGCCTCACAAGACAAAAAACCCGCTAGACGAAAGGGTTTTCCGTTTTTGAGTTGCTTCACAAGACGATTTTCCCTATGGGCTTGCTTCGCAAGACGAAAACGTCTTGCGAGTCTTGCAATTTTTTTTCGCTCCCCCCTCCCTTTTTCTAAGCCGCTAAGCCGGTAATAGCCTTTTAGCCGCTAAGCCGCTAAGCCTTTAATAGCCGCTAAGCCGCTAATAGCGCTAATCCGCTAATAGGGTTGCTTCGCAAGATGAAAAAACCGCTAGACGAAGAGACTCGCGGAACGGATTATTTTCGTCTTGCGAGGCACCACTGTAGTTAGTCAGCGTTCAGATTCAGTAGCGCAGTAATTTAGCTGAACTATGTTTATTTACATATATACACTTGGAGCATCATAACCCAGCTACAGTGGTGCCTCGCAAGACGAAATTAATTCGTTCTGCGAGTTTTTTCGTCTTGCGAATTTTTCGTCTTGCGAAGCACGGTCAAGTCGCAACTGCACCTCTTCAAGCGGTTTTAAGAAAAAGGAAACAAACTTGCAAGACATTTTCGTCTTGCGAAGCAAGCCCATAGGGAAATTCGTCTTGCGAAGCAACTCAAAAAACGAAAAACTCTTTCGTCTTGCGAGTTTTTCATCTTCCGAGGCATTCGTCTTGTGAGGTACCACTGTACTTCCTCTTCGGCATCAGACAGCAAAGAGAAAGGACAAAGGACAAACGTCCTACATCACGGAAACACAGTAATACAAACATCCTGTCTCCGTCACTTCCCACGACGTGGAATGAAAACATACACTGTCATGTGGTATAAACAATCCCATGACTGCAACACGGGAAAAGAATCCTAACAGGCCCACCCCCCCTGCTTATCCCACTGAAAATGAACTTCTAACCCCACTGCTCTGGTCAGATGCTAATCTCTCCCACATCCTGTCTGTATCCCACAAAATAAATTATTTGCCATTAAATAAATGGGGAGGAGTAGCCAGTCTCCACCCAAATCAGCATTCTTCCTCTAGCTTCCCAACACTAGCAGCTGCAAAATAAATGTTTCTACATTCTCCTAGGTGGGATCGCCAACGGCCTTGGCAGATTTAGACACCGAGCTTAAATTACGCAAAGCTTCAAGAGAGGCCGGGCACACCCTCTATATCCCCAGTGGGGCTCTATGGGGTGGACAAGACATCCAGAGGTTGGATGACGGAGGATTACTTCAGGTAAGATCCCAGAGGGGGGCATCGCATTGGCAGTGCGGGTAGGTAAATGGGAAGACTGTAAAGAGGAAGGAGTGTGTGGCAGTATATTGACTACCAGAATTGATTTGACTGATTGCAGATTTATAAACCACTTCATTAAAAAAGGTCTTCAAGCAGTGTAAAAACATACGTTTTTTTGTTTACATTGTAATCCTGGCTTTATTCCATGACAGAACTAGGTGGTGATGCCCAACTGCATCACATACTCTTAAATCATGCCCTATTATGAAATATTGCTAATCCAGAATTTAGCAAATAAATAAGCAACGATTTGACTTTTAGAAGACCTCTGTTCAGGGAAGTTTTTAATGGGTGATACTGTAGATAGCCGTGTTGGTCTGCCATAGTTGAAACAAAATTTAAAAAATCCTTCCAGGTATCTGAAGAAGTGTGCATGCACACGAAAGCTCATACCAATAACAAACTTAGTTGGTCTGTAAGGTGTTACTGGAAGGAATTTTTTTTTATTTAATGGGTGATGTTTTATTGTGCTTTTAATAATTTGTTGGAAGCTGCCCAGAGTGGCTTGGGCAACCAAGTCAGATGGGCTGCATATTATTATTATTATTATTATTATTATTATTATTATTATTATTACTACTACTACTACTACTACTACTACTACTACCACCACAGTGGTACCTCAGGTTACATACGCTTCAGGTTACATACGCTTCAGGTTACACACGCTTCAGGTTACAGACTCCGCTAACCCAGAAATAGTAAGGTAAAGGTAAAGGTACCCCTGCCCATACGGGCCAGTCTTGACAGACTCTAGGCTTGTGCGCCCATCTCACTCTAGAGGCCGGGGGCCAGCGCTGTCCGGAGACACTTCCGGGTCACGTGGCCAGCGTGACATCGCTGCTCTGGCGAGCCAGAGCCTCACACGGAAACGCTGTTTACCTTCCCGCTAGTAAGCGGTCCCTATTTATCTACTTGCACCTGGGGGTGCTTTCGAACTGCTAGGTTGGCAGGCGCTGGGACCGAGCAGCGGGAGCGCACCCCGCCGCGGGGATCCGAACCACCGACCTTTCGATCGGCAAGCCCTAGGCGCTGAGGCTTTTACCCACAGCGCCACCCGCGTCCCCCCCAGAAATAGTACCTCGGGTTAAGAACTTTGCTTTAGGATGAGAACAGAAATTGTGCTCCGGAGGCACGGTGGCAGCGGGAGGCCCCATTAGCTAAAGTAGTGCTTCAGATTAAGAATAGCTTCAGGTTAAGAACGGACCTCTGGAACTAATTAAGTACTTAACCCAAGGTACCAATGTATTATTATTATTATCTACACTGAAATGTTTAACTGTTTCTGTGAAGGTTCCTTAAATCTTCCTGTCACACTTGCCATCCTCTTCTGTCACACCACACCCCTTGAAAACCTCTGTTATAAGTGGCTGGAAGGCAAATTCTCTGACTCTTATCCTTCCATCTTCTAGGCACTGACTGTTACAATGGTGAAACACCCCAGCAGCTTCCGACTGGGTGGGCACCTGGGGGAGCTTGCGAAAGGTGCCCAGCAGGAACGCGTGGTCCTCTATGACGGCCCTGTGCGGAGATTGTGTCCCTTGGCTCCCAACAACGTCAACACCATGGCAGCAGCCTGCATGGCCGCACCCAGCCTGGGCTTTGACGGCGTGAAAGGCTGTCTTATAGCTGACCCCAAGTGAGTCCCTGGTCTCTGCCTGCCGGGTGGGTGGGAATGTTGGCAAACTGATGGCGCCTGCCACCATCCTACTTTAAAGCTCCAGTCTAACTGACCGCTCTTCCCCACCACAGCCTACCCAATTACCACGTGGTGGAGATCGAGGCCACTGGACAAGGCGGCTTCTCCGTCAGCACAAAGCGCAAGAACCCAGCTGCCTGTGGGGCCGTCACAGGGGCAGCCACTTTTGCCGCATTCTGGAGCAGCCTGTTAGGTGAGGATGAAACCCCCTAGTCCAGGATCCTCTTCGAGGGGAGGGGAGTCAAGCGTCAACGGGAAGCTTGCAAGCGAGATCTGAGTGCGACAGCAAACTCCCCACTTCCTAATTCTCCAATATGATGGCGCCACGTTTTGCTCTGATCATGACTCTTAATGCTAACTGCAGCCTTCTACCCTCCAACACTTCTCCGATGAAAATAGGGATGTCTTAATCAATAATAAAAGGGACGCAGGTGGCGCTGTGGGTTGAACCAGAGCCTAGGACTTACCGATTAGAAGGTCGGCGGTTCAAATCCCCGCAACGGGGTGAGCTCCTGTTGCTCGGTCCCTGCTCCTGCCAACCTAGCAGTTCAAAAGCACGTCAAAGTGCAAGTAGATAAATAGGTCCCGCTCCGGTGGGAAGGTAAACGGCGTTTCCGTGCACTGCTCTGGTTCGCCGGAAGCTGTACGCCGGCTCCCTTGGCCAATAAAGCGAGATGAGCGCCGCAACCCGAGAGTTGGCCACGATTGGACCTAATGGTCAGGGGTCCCTTTTCCTTTACTTTAATCAATAATAATAATAATAATTTTACTATTTACTATTTACACTATTGCATAAAGGTAAAGGTACCCCTGCCCATACGCGCCAGTCTTGACAGACTCTAGGGTTGTGCGCCCATCTCACTTAAGAGGCCGGGTCACGTGGCCAGCGTGACAAGCTGCATCTGGCGAGCCAGCGCAGCACACGGAATGCCGTTTACCTTCCCGCTGGTAAGCGGTCCCTATTTATCTACTTGCACCCGGGGGTGCTTTCGAACTGCTAGGTTGGCAGGCGCTGGGACCGAGCAACGGGAGCGCACCCCGCCGCGGGGATTTGAACCGCCGACCTTTAGATCGGCAAGCCCTAGGCGCTGAGGCTTTTACCCACAGCGCCACCCGCGTCCCTACACTATTGCATACCTTCCAACATTTCTCCAATGAAAATAGGGAAGTCATATTCAAGAATAAGAATAATACCCCGCCCATCTGACTGTGTTGCCCCAGCCATGCTGGGTGGTTTCCAACATACATATAAACCTAATAAAACACTAAACATTTAGAACAACTTCTCTTTGGGTGGCTCGGGCGTTGCATACCCTCCAACATTTCTCTGGTGCAAATAGGAAAGTCCTAAGCAAAAGCAGGACATTGTGGGATCAAATCAGAAACCGGGATGGCATCTGTAAATCCAGGACTGTCCCTGGAAAATAGGGACACTTGGAGCGTCTGCTCTTAATGCCAACTGCATCCTCAATCCATTGCTGTAGCATCGTACAGAGCCAGTTTCCGGCTCTTTCCGTTGCAGAGATCTAAGGGAAAGTATGCAGGTGGTATTCTATGTCCCGGGGTGGGGATCCTGGGACCTTGGAGGCCAAATGCTTGTCTGCACACCTCACTTGGTGCTCTCCCAGCCCACACCTCCTGCCCTGGCCACAGCTTGCATTGTCCCTGCTCCACAACCTCTAGAACAGCGGTTCTCAACCTGTGGGTCCCCAGAAGTTGTTGGACTACAAATCCCATCATCCCTGAGCTCTGGCCTTGCTAGGTAGGGGTGATGGGAGTTGTAGTTCAGCAACATCTGGGGACACACAGGTTGAGAAAGGCTGCTCTAGAATGTCTTTTTCAACTGTGATGACACCCCTTCCTTGCCTGGATTGGAGGGCTTTGTGTTTAGAAACAGATGACATTCCCCACCCCTGTTATATACGAATAGCAAACTTATTCTTCATGTTGTGAAGCTTATGTAGCCAAAGCAGAACCCTCCGTGCACAAAAAAGGGAGGTATATGCAGGCTTGGGGGAACCCCAAGATTTGCAGCACCCATCACCATCATTTTTAGCAGGGGAAAGCCCTAAGGAGGGGGGAAATTCACCCTCAAAAGCAGCCCATAGAAGACTGAGCATGGGAACAGCGAACTCCATTCACTCACCTGGAAGCAAACTCCATTGAACACAGTAGGACTTACTTCTGGGTAGGTAAAGGTAAAGGTACCCCTGCCCGTACGGGCCAGTCTTGACAGACTCTAGGGTTGTGCGCCCATCTCACTCAAGAGGCCGGGGGCCAGCGCTGTCCGGAGACACTTCCGGGTCACATGGCCAGCGTGACATCGCTGCTCTGGCGAGCCAGAGCCGCACACGGAAACGCCGTTTACCTTCCCGCTAGTAAGCGGTCCCTATTTATCTACTTGCACCCGGGGGTGCTTTCGAACTGCTAGGTTGGCAGGCGCTGGGACCGAACAACAGGAGTGCACCCCGCCACGGGGATTCGAACCACTGACCTTTCGATCGGCAAGCCCTAGGCGCTGAGGCTTTTACCCACAGCGCCACCCACGTCCCAGGTACTTCTGGGTAGAAGTGTATAGAATTGCCCGGTTCATCTTGTGTTGTCTATCGTGATGTCTTGAGTGGCCCTGTTGGGCGATGGGGTTTGGCAGTTCTTTGGGCTCTGACTTTTCTTTTCCTTTCCACAGTGTGCCAGGGCCACGGAGGCCGAGTCTATCTCTGCTGAGCTTTATTGCATCTGTTCTCTAGAGGATTCACAGACGAGCTCCGTGGGTGCCAGAGGTTCGGTTGCAGGGAGCTGAGAAGGCCGGGAAAGAAAAGAGAAATACCAGCTTCAAACCCCGCTGCATGTCTTTAATCCATCAACTCTATAAACATCCATCTGTCTCTGCCGTCTTCCATTTCCAGCAGCCTTCTTGTCTCGCACCCGCCGTCCACAAGCAATCTGAATTCTGCAGTCCTGTGTACACTTACTTAGGAGCAAGTCCCATTTGGCCTATTAGAGAGATGCCCTCAAGAGTCTTTCATATGATTCAAGGGTGTTTTAGAGGAACAGGGAAGGGCTCTTCCAAGTGCCACTCACAGCAATATTGCTGCAACACTGGCGAGTTAAAATATCCCCCGGTGATTGAGGAGCAGACGGAACACATATTATTGTCAATTAGAGAAAATGGAAGAGATGTGGGGAAAGACCAGGGGAGATAATCTGACTGGCCTTCCTCAACCGTTATACTAAATATCTAATTATAAGAATATATGAGTAAAGAAGCCTCTTAACCTGGCTCGTTTCCCCCCTCTTTCCCCTTCCGTTAAAAAACAACAACTCATTAATACTTCCAATTTCTCTCTCTCTCTCTCTCTCTTTTTTTTTTTTTACTTTATTATTGATTAGAGGCTACCACCCAACTGAGGAAGACTTGCATTACAATTCTAAACAGGCTTACAGAGGAATAAGGCCCACTGAATTCTATGGCACTTACTCCCAGAATAAAATATGCTTAGGCTCACGCTGTTAGTTTATTGGCAGGGTCCAGGGTATGGTCTGAAGGCACATGAGGAGACCATCTTGTTGAAGATAAGTGGTCTGGGTTTGATCAATGGCTGGATGGGTCACTAGCAGGGAACCAAATAAATAATATTATTATTAAAAATATGGGACGTAACCTGATTCATCAGTTAAGACTGTCTCACATTTGTACAGTCATACCTCGGGTTGAAGTAGCTTCGGGATAAGTATTTTCGGGTTGCGCATTGCGGTGACCCGGAAGTAACGGAGCATGTTACTTCTGGGTTTCGCCGCTCGCGCATGCGCAGACATCAAAATGACGTCACACACATGCTCAGAAGTGGCGAATCGTAACCCGCGCACGCGCAGACACGGGTTACATTCGCTTCTGGATGCGAACGGGGCTCTGGAATGGATCCCGTTCGCATTCAGAGGTACCACTGAATGACATCTGAAGAGAAGACACTAAAGCGAATGACTGAAAATGGCCATTGAAATATATTGGCTGTCCCTGAACAGCCACACTAAATTTCAGAATGGGCCTTGTTAAGAGTGCAGTTTGAAGAGCGCTTGGATGAATACGCAGCGGGTGGTGGGGCTCTGTGTCTACAAATGGCCAAAGAAAAATGGGATGGTCATCTTGAGTGGTCATTAGAACACACACCTGGAGAACTGTCACAAAGACAAAAGCAGAACTAGATCAAATGGACTTAAATTACAGGAGGATAGGTTTTGTAGGAATGTAGGAATCTGCCTTGTACCAAGCTAGAGAGCTCTGTCCCATCTAGCTGAATCTTGAGACTGAACCTGCTCAGAGTGGTGGAGATGCTGGAGATCTTCAAACATTGTTTGGGGGGTACGCTAGCTCTGCGACAGTGGATCTGTAAGGCAGGGTTAGCCAAAATGGGGTATTTTAGATGTTGTGGACTCCAGCTCTTATCAGCCACAGAACATGGTGAATAGTTAGGAATGATGGGAGTTGTAGTCCAAAAATCCAGAGACACCGTGTTGGCTGCCCCTGCTGTAAGACATATTATTATTCTGATAATACGTATGTATGTTACATGCTATGCTAATGTGTTAAAAATTAAACAAATTGCAGTTGCCTAGAATGAAGAATTGGATTAACAGAGAAGATGCTGAAGGAAATGAATCAATGTAAGGACCCACAAAGGAGAGAAGTCCATGGGAATTTATGGAATTCCCTTTTTGTTTTGGTTGTTTGATGATTGTTTGCAAATTTATGTCGGACACTGCAGTGCACAGCCAGGAAGCAATGACTGAGGAAAGTAAGAAGCGTGCCTGCTAGTTCCTTCTTGCTAAATCCACACCATATAGCTGGCAGTAATCTCAGATGTTAGGAAGACGTGCCTCAATTTTGGCCTTTCAGAGCTCTATGAAAGTTTTAAGTGTTGCCACCTTTCCAGACAGGTGCCCACCAACAGTCAGCTTCTGCTAACAAAGGTGCAGCGGTAACATGAGCTGCACCTGTGGAACTTCTGTCTGTCAGAGCTCTTGAAAAGCATGAGATTTCTGCTAAAGGTAAAGGGACCCCTGACCATTAGGTCCAGTTGTGACCGACTCTGGGGTTGCGGCACTCATCTTGTTTTATTGGCCGATGGAACCGGCGTACAGCTTCCTGGTCATGTGGTCAGCATGACTAAGCCGCTTCTGGAGAACCAGAGCAGCGCACGGAAACACCGTTTAGCTTCCCACCGGAGCGGTACCTATTTATCTACTTGTACTTTGACGTGCTTTCGAACTGCTAGGTTGGCAGGAGCAGGGACTGAACAATGGGAGCTCACCCCATCACGGGGATTCGAACCACCAACCTGATCGGTAAGTCCTAGGCTCTGTGGTTTAACCCACAGCACCACCCGCGCCCCTGAGATTTCTGCTAGTGGGCTGGAAATTGCACAAAGGAAGATTCCGTTCCAGGAACGTGTTATTAGGATGGGCAGATGGGCAGAAGGAGGACAAGGGCTCCTAATATACAAACAGCAGCATAGAAAAGGGAATTTAATTCAATCACCTTTATCTTGGAGACCAGTGTCAGCAGATGAAAACACTAGCGGGATTGCAAGAACACTTGTAATGTAGCTAGTACTGTGGAGATAATGGAGTTCTATTAAATATGGTCTATTGAAAAAAATATGCAGTAGAAAAGGTTAATAACAGGACCCACAGCGGGGAAGGTGGGAAGTCCAGAGGTTCGGAGGAATCTTTATTTATTTATTATTAAGTTCTGTTTTGCATACATCCATATACATTTTCCATCCTTAATTCGAGCTACACCTAGGAATAAACAGCTACATAAGAAAAGAGATAAAGAAAAAAATGCATAGCCACTAAATATCTTTCCCACCACCCGTTCCCCATACTTATTATATTTAATTATCAAACCTTAAATATTCTAATCTTTTGGGTTCGCTTCCACCACCTCAATTTGAGTCAATTTTTCCTTTTCCTTAACTGCCTTCTTTAGATGTTTTCCATTTCTTGGTATTAGCTTGTTTGGTTATAACAACTGTTTTTGTCTTTTGCAGAAATTAATCAAAGCATAATAAAGGTTTTATTTGAGAACAATGTTTTTCTAGATAAGTTTTTATAGCACTCCCATTCCTTAGTGAACTTTTGGCTTGTTCTGTTCCTAATTGTTACTGTCAGAGGCAGGGCCGGATTTAGGTTTGATGAGGCCCTAAGCTTCTGAAGGTAATGGACCCTTTATATGTCCAGCTGTCCTTTGTCAACAACAAATTGTCACTGTTTTTTGTGTTGAATATATGCTATAGGTATCTAAAGCCATTTGCACATAACAAAATATGTATTTTATCAAAGTAATTGTTGAACTGAAATACAACTACAGTGGTACCTCTAGTTAAGAACTTAATTCGTTCTGGAGGTCTGTTCTTAACCTGAAACTGTTCTTAACCTGAGGTACCACTTTAGTTAATGGGGCTTCCCACTGCCGCCACGCTGCCAGAGCACGATTTCTGTTCTCATCCTGAAGCAAAGTTCTTAACCTGAGGTACTATTTCTGGGTTAGCAGAGTCTGTAACCTGAAGCGTCTGTAACCCAAGGTACCACTGTAAGAAGTATATTAGTAGTGAAATAATTATTAAGCTCTAACTTAAAATGATATTTTATTCATAACAAACTTAATAATGCAAACACACTGGCATTTGGCAATAACAAAAGTTCCTTTAGAAACACAATTTACAAAGACTCCTAATTTTTTTGGGGGGGCCCCAAGAGAGTGGGGCCCTAAGCTATAGCTTGTTTATCTTATACGTAAATCCGGCACTGGCTGAGGAATCTTTAAATGTGGATGTATATGGTCGTATTAAATCAAATAAAAATTATTTCAAGCCGCCCCGCGGCCCCCCCCCGTTTTATTGGTTTTTAAACAAACACAATAACCATTAAGCACTGATCCAGCACATAGCTGTCAACGTTTTCCTTTTTTAAAGGGAAATTCCCTTATTCCGAATAGGATTCCTTGCAAGAAAAGGGAAAAGTTGACAGCTATGATCCAACAGCGCATCTGACGGTTTGCATTAACCACTGTCTCTACGGACATGCACCTGCGCAAGCTATTTCCAAATGAGGAATTTGCAAGGTAAATTCAAAGTTGCTCGTAGCGGACGACGCAGGAGCCCTGCCCTTCTGCCCCTGACCGCCCTGCCCGGGCTTTGACTCTCTTTACTCTTTTAGACTATATTATTATTATTATTAATTTTATTTTTATTTTCACATTTGCTTGGCCTTACTGGCCATTCAACTGCACTGCCACCCCGTTGCCATAGCGCGCTTTGTGGCTTCTGCGCGTACCGCGCCTGCAGTTCGTCTCCGCCCACACGACGCCACGTCACCGGCGCAAATCTGGGGGGGGGGGAGGGCGGTTTCGCCGCGTTCCTTCCGGCCGGCGCCGCGAGGCATGCCGGGAGTTGAAGTCCCGCCGCCCTCGCCCGGTGCTCGCTGGGAATGGTAGTTCTCCGCCCACGCCCTTTGCACTGTCAGCCTGGCCTTGAAAGGAAGCGGCTCCCGGGGATGGGCACGGCGCGGAGTTTTAGTTGCTGGAGTCCCAGCTTCGCGAGGGTAAGATGCTTTTATTGTTATTATTATTGTTATTTTTCTCCTCCTGGGAAGTCTGGGTATTGTTGGCCAGGCTATTAAGCTGGCTGGGGAAGGGGATTTAACAACAACAACAACACAACAACAACAACAACAGGGGAGGGCTTCTTTTAAGACTGGGAGCTTTACCATTAACTAAAACAACTGCGCTTTAGAGCATGTACAGAGTGCTGCCAGCCTGCTAGGGAAGGATCAGCAGCTCCCCCCAGTGCAGCAGCCTATTAAATTGCGATTAGGGAAAGTTTTCTAGCGAAAAGGAAAGGACTGTGAGCTGTAAGCTCTCTCTCTGGTTTTTTTTAAAAAATATATACAAAAGTAATATGGCTGTACCTATGATTGGGATTAGGAAAAATTTCCTGGTGAAATAGAAGACTATGAGCTGCCAGCTGGCCTGTAGGCCTCTAGACTTTTTAATAATATGTTTATAATTGCTTTTGGAAACACACTCTGGGCATGGGGAATTACCGGTAACTCTCCTGTCCAGGCGGTTCGATGTTGTTTGTTTGTTTTATTCGTTTAGTTAGCTAAAAATCTATACACTGCTTGCTTTCAAAGAAAAACAGCAGCCCTCAAAGTGCTTTGCAAGAAGATCAGGCGATAAAATCCAGGCGCTTTGAAACGTAACGAAAGTTAAAATGCTAAAACAGGTTCGGATTATCTCAGCTTCCTATTTATTTACTACATTTGGATGCCGTCCTTCGTTTGTAGATTTCAGGGCAGTTTACAACATAAAAATACAGGGTGGAAACACAAAATACACAACGAAATGAACCAATATACCTCCCTGCCCCATGCTAGTCTTCACTCAGAGTAGGACCACTGGAATTAAAAGGCAGGAGTAACTTGGGGGTTCCTTGGTTTCTGTGGATCTGCTTTCTCAGTTTGAATGCAGCAGCCCTGTGTCTTTCTTCTTAGTATGTATACTGGTAGCTACTATATTTTAGGGGACCTTTTTAAAAAGCCAGTACAGTTGCGACATAAATTGGCACTGCTTTGCGGACATTACCTTGCTTGCCTGGGGAACTTAGTTAGTGAGGACTGGTTTGGACAATTATAGTTTTAGCAAATTGCAGTAGAGCTCTTCTGTTCCTGTTAAAACAAAGTAAAGCAGGGTGGAAAGGGGAAAACGGTTTTGATCTTTAAACGTTAAGTGCCTTTAGTCTGCAATCCTAACACTACTTACCCAGGATTATTGAATTCAATACGACTTGCATCAGAGTAGACAGGGTTCTGCTGTACAGTATATTGTGGAGGAATGACTGTTTTTAGACCTAATGGTTCAAAATGCTTTGAGTGAAGTCAGTTTTAATGCTACAGCTACATTAGTTGCGTGAATTTTATGTGAATTTTGATCGTAACGATTGTATCACGTATTATATTTTGTTGTTTGTAAATTAGTTGTACGCTGTCCTGTGACTGCGTTGAAGGGCGGTATAAAAATACATCAATAAATAATAAATTTCACCAATAAATAGATCTTGGTGGTGATTTCTTTAAGCACTCTTTTTTTTTTTACTACTCTAGTGGCTAAAATATTTGATTTCTGTGTGGTTTAGTATTATGCGTTTTGATTCTTTCTCTTCTATCTCTTAGACTTTAGGAATATTTATTTATGTGGGATCATGTTATTTGTTGCATTCAGATACTGCCTTTGTGCCATGGAAATTTACATTTGTCATTATGCACTTGTGGCTTCTGTGGTGCTGTTGATGATGTTCGAAGTCTAAGCAGTGATTGGTTGGGACTTCCCTGATGCTGAGGTCAGGTGGGAGCAGGCAGGAGAGTCTCTGGCTGCCATTGGCTGAGCTGCTGTGATGCAAGAGAGGGGACGTGGCAGGTAGGAATGCCTTGGAGATGAGTAGAAGAGAAGGCAGGTGACTTGAGAAGGTGTTAGGCCTAGGGCAACTTAAAAGAGGTTAAGAGTAAGCAAAGGGGTAGCCGAGAAGACTAAAGGAAGCCGCTTGAGAGGGTAAGGGAAATGATGAGACAGAATGGGCAAAGAGGAAAGGGGCCAATGTGAGAAAGGCCAAGGAACACATAGTTGATGTGAAACTACCAGCCAGGCAGTAGCTCACTAATGCAATTGCATTGATTTCCCTGCCTTCTCTGTCTTCTGTGATTTCATCATTGGACTTTCTCTCCAGGGCTGATCTCTTGCAGGAAGAACCTCTTGGACCTGTGTAGATGTGATGTCCGGGTCTGGACGAAACGAAGCTCCTGGGGTGTACCATGAGCGGCAGCGGCTGGAGCTGTGTGCCGTCCATGCCCTCAACAACGTCCTGCAGGAACGAATTTTCACGCAAGAGGCGGCGGATGAGATCTGCAAGAAGTGAGTGGCTGGAACGTCTTGTGCTTTCGCCTCTCGCTAATACCTCTGTATCTGCTTTCAAGATTCCCAGAGGAGACTTTTCTCTGCATGCAGGATCCTTTTATCAATGCCCTAACAGCCTTTCAGCTCTGTAAATGGCTTATTACAGTCGCCTTTTAAAATTCCCCGACAGTCAATTGTTTTTTCAAGGAGGGGGGAGGGAGAGGAAAGCGAAGGCTGTATCTCCTTCATATTTCCTGCTGTGCCCCCCAAATCTGGCAGCCTTGAGGACTAAAACCTCCAGGCTGACTGCTGGAGAACCCCCATAGACAGCCCCCACAGTACCATGAAATGCATATGAGCAGTGTAGGAAACTCAGATATACAGTGGTACCTCAGGTTATAGACGCTTCAAGTTACAGACGCTTCAGGTTACAGATGCTTCAAGTTACAGGCTCCACAAACCCAGAAATAGTACCTCGGGTTAAGAACTTTGCTTCAGGATGAGAACAGAAATCGTGCGGCGGCAGTGCAGCGGCAGCGGGAGGTCCCATTAGCTAAAGTGGGACCTCAGGTTAAGAACAGACCTCTGGAACGAATTAAGTTCTTAACCCGAAGTACCACTGTATAAGCTAGGCGCCAAACAGCTCTTTAAACCGAAGTTACAGTTGCCATAATGAAATGTCTCATTGCCATTTTGGGGCAGGACGTCTCTAAAGTCTTATTTTTCAAATGATGGACTGACTGTGATTGATTCTCAGTTATAGATCTGCTAGATCAGATGACAACCTTGAGCTAGGTTAAGAGCTTTGAGAACTTAAAGAAGAAAAGTACCTTGATGCAGGGACAGTCCACACACACACACACACACACACACACACACATAAGGTAAAGGGACCCCTGACCATTAGGTCTAGTCGTGACCGACTCTAGGGTTGCGGCGCTCATCTCGCTTTATTGGCTGAGGGAGCCGGCGTACAGCTTCCAGGTCATGTGGCCAGCATGACTAAGCCGCTTCTGGCGAACCAGAGCAGCACACGGAAACGCCGTTTACCTTCCCGCCTATTTATCTACTTGCACTTTGACGTGCTTTCGAACTGCTAGGTTGGCAGGAGCAGGGACCGAGAAATGGGCGCTCACCCTGTCATGGGGATTCAAACCGCTGACCTTCTGATCAGCAAGTCCTAGGCTCTGTGGTTTAACCCACAGCGCCACCCGTGTCCATATATATATATATATATATATATAGGCTGATTCCAACCTCTTTCTTGATGGTAACTGCTCCTGCCCAGGCTACCCAGAAAAAGCATTTTGGTTCCAGAAATTCATTCTGATTGTGCGGATAAAATACAACTAATGGAATTCTACGGGATGGGGCATTAGTGGGTGAAAGAAACAGTCCAGCTCCAATGATCCCCAGGCATGCGCCTCCAGATGGTGGAAATGTCAGGCATCATCCTGGCTCCCAGGCATCTTCTCCGAGTCAAAAGTGGTCGAAAGCCATGGCTAATTTTGAACACTGCGTGTGAGGTTTGGCATAACTTGTGCTTAACTGGCTTTCAGTGAATCATCTTTAAAACACAGTTCTGCATCAGCACATGGTGGCACATCACCCCTTCCACTTGGCGTGGACCTGCCAGTCTCTTCTCGTGCGCCTTTAAATTCAGGAGCGCTGCACTAGGGTAGGGCACTAATTCTGCATGCCTGTCACCGAAGGGATGGTCCTCCCGTGTCTTTGACAGTTGATGGATGGACTGGGCAACTCCCAAGGTGTTTTGCGGGAGATGCTGTTTCCTTTAGTCACTTAAATCCACTGGTCATCACGGTACTTTAATTAGCACAGTGCAGATATATATCTTGCACTCAGCAGCCACTCCAGCGGATGGAACAGGTGTGAAGTCGGCATCTGAAATACTGCTTCTTTTGCCGTATAGATCTGTTGATTGATTGTTCATTTTTATACAGCGTTGTTCGGGGCAAGCACGCCTCCCTGGGGTATAATATTTCTCCGGAAAAGCAGAGGAGGCAGTTGAATAGAAAGAAGTACACATCCTTTATTCTCGATATATTTTGAGGGTGACTCTCTCTGGGGACAAGTTTCTACAAACTTGAAACAGGCAGAAAGAGAACAGGATGTGTGAAACGCACATATTTTATTCGGCACAAACTTAGGAGAAGCAAAAATCTGCAGGTTGATAATAAATGAGTAAATTTGCAGGATGATACAGCTACATAGTAACATCATTGGGTTGGTGCTTTTACAGAATAGAAGAAAGAAAGGACTATCTCTTGGAGAATACAATATAGCATTTGACAGAGGAAGATGGAAATGGGGCTGGGGGAGTTTGCAATGCAATTCAGTAATGATGTACAGTGGTACCTGGGGTTAAGTATTTAATTCGTTCCGGAGATCCGTACTTAACCTGAAACTGTTCTTAACCTGAAGCACCACTTTAGCTAATGGGGCCTCCTGCTGCTGCCGCACTGCCGCAGCAACCCACGATTTCTGTTCTCATCCTGAAGCAAAGTTCTTAACCTGAAGCACTATTTCTGGGTTAGCGGAGTCTGCAACCTGAAGCGTATGTAACCCGAGGTACCACTGTACTTAGGTTAAATCATACATACGGACTAAGGGGTTGTGCTGACCACAGAAGGTGGGTATTGAGGAGAGACAACATGATGTGGTTAAAGCCCTAAATGCCCTCAGCCCTGTATACCTGAAGGAGCATCTCCACCCCCATCGCTCAACCCAGACACTAAGGTTCAGCTTCTAAGGCCTTCTGGCGGTTCCCTCACTGCGATAAGTGAAGTTACAGGGAACCAGGCAGAGGGCCTTTGTGGTAGTGGCATCTGTCCTGTTCTGCCATCAGACGTTAAGGAGTTGAGTAATTACAGTGGTACCTCGGGTTACATACGCTTCAGGTTACAGACTCCGCTAACTCAGAAATAATGCTTCAGGTTAAGAACTTTCCTTCAGGATGAGAACAGAAATCGTGCAGCGGCGGCAGCGGGAGGCCCCATTAGCTAAAGTGGTGCTTCAGGTTAAGAACAGTTTCAGGTTAAGCACGGACCTCTGGAACGAATTAAGTACATAACCAGAGGTACCACTGTACAGTGGTACCTCAGGATGCGAACGGGATCCGTTCGCATCCTGAATGGAAAATAAGACGTGTTTGTACTGGTCGCGTTTGCCGCTTCTGCGCATGCACATGACATCATTTTGACTGACTGCGCATGCGAGAGCGGTGAAACCCGGAAGTAACGCGCTCCGTTACTTCCGGGTCACTGCGGAGTGCAACCCGAAAGCGCTCAACCCAAAGCGTATTTATCCTGAGGTATGACTGTATATAACATTTAGGAAACATCTGAAGGCAACCCTGTGTAGGGAAGCTTTTAATGTTTTACTATGTTTTTATATATGATGGAAGCCGGCCCAGTCAGATGGGTGGAGTACACAATAATAATTCGAAACAGTAATTCTCGGATTGGGGTCCTACACTGATCCCAAGAATTTCCCTGTGCCTTATTCTTTCACTGGTGTCCAGCCCTCTGATTCTTACAGTGAGTCCTTCCTTCCTTCCCTCCAACAGGCTGGCCCCAGATGCCAGGTGGAACCCGCACCGCAGCTTTCTGGGAACCGGGAACTATGATGTCAACGTCATCATGGCAGCTCTTCAGAGTGTGGGTCTAGAAGCCATCTGGTGGGACAAACGGAGGTGAGGAGAGCAGCAACCTTTGCCTGGTGTTGTGTATCACCCTGGCGCAGGTGACTTTGCAGGCTCCCCATCATCTCTCGGCTTGCCATTGCTACGGTGGCCCTCCCATTGGCAGATCCTCTTCTACCTTCCTCTTTTAGCTTCTTTCTTTATTATGTTTATGGGATGCCTTTCTGCCGAATTGCTGGGGGCCACGGCTGACAATCTAAGGTGCAATTCTATTATACGAAAGGAAAACAGAATGAGAAGTGAAGGGAGAGGCGGGGGGAAGGGAACTAAGCAGAGTTGCATAGCATCTTCAGGTCTAATAACCGGATGGAGTGGCCACTTCAGTGAGAACGTCTGGAGAGAAAGAGGGCAGCCAATTGGCGTCTGGTCCCAAGCTGAGCTCATGGAGGGGCTCTTGCTGGCTCAAGGCGGCAGGAAGTGTCCCCGTTTCACCTCTCCATGTTACGCTGTGCACATGGAGATGAATTGCGAGCATCCGAGGTGAGTTGGTCTGCACTGCAATGTTGAGTAAGGCAGGCCAAAGTCTCATGGAACTAGAGGCAGCCGCTGAAATCTCCCACCATTTGTTCTTTTGATTGCAGTCCCCGTAGGTCAGGCATGTCCAACAGGTCAACCACAATCTACCGGTCGATCGCGGGGCGTCCCTGGTCGTCTTCCCCCCAAAAATCTCAGCGACTTTGGTCAATCCAATGAGTAGATCACTGCCAGTTTGATTATAGTGGGAGTAGATCACAGTCTCTTGGGAGTTGGAGATGCCTGCCATAGGGTGTTTTTGTTGTTGTCCTCTACCGTGAATTGCTCCCATTTAAAAAGTTGGACCTGGAATTCTGGAGAAAGTGGAAGTGACATTTTTGCTCCCAGATAATCTCCTCCTTTCCCAAGGACTGACTATGCTGAGACCAGGGTGGATTTAAAAAAAAAGAAATTTAAATTTAAATCGGATTTTTGAAATAAAATGCTTTTGGAGGAAAAATCTTTCTAAAGATAGTTTTCTATTTAAGTTACATTATAGTCCAAAGGCTATTCATCAGGAAATAAGGATATGTTTTAAGTTTTTCAAATGTGCTAAAACTCAGTCTAAGTTTTTTTTAAAAATTGTTTAACCACATCAGTTAACAAACATGGATACATGTGCTATAATGTTATTGTTTTAGTGAAATAAATCGTTTACATTGTTATTAAGGAAATGATTATTTTTCTTCTTCCAATAAAGTACGGCAGAAAAGTTGTCCAAATATAAACAGTTAACTTATTAAACCTCACAATAATTTTGTAATTATCGGTCTATGTATTTCTAATCAGTAATTTTTGATATAACTGTAAAAACTACTCTGAAAAATTATTTTTTCCAAAAACGAAACCTCCATTTGGTTGTAAATATTAAGATTATAATAGCAAGAATGAGTCTTTAAAAAAAAAGATTTAAATCAAGTCTTACTGACTAGTGATTTAAATCAAATCCACCCTGGTTGAGACCTGCTTTAGCTTCTTAACAGCTCAACACCGTTGAGTTTCTACGAGTCACATGAGAAATCTGTGTCTCTCTCTAGAATCCTATCCTCTTTGACAAGTCTCATCTCCCTTTGTGCCTTAGGCCCCTAGAGCAGCTCTCCCTGGAGGGGGTTCTTGGCTTCATCATCAACGTCCCGTCCAACGTGTGTCTGGGCTTCCTGTCCCTCCCAGTGAGGCGCCGCCACTGGATCGCCGTGCGCCAGCTTGACGGCACCTACTACAACCTTGACTCCAAGCTGAAGGGTCCGGCTCCAATCGGTGGTGAATCTGACCTCAGGTACTGCTCCTGTGGCTGGTTTGGGGACGACTACAGTGTAGTCCCAGGGACGCAGGTGGCGCTGTGGGTTAAACCACAGAGCCTAGGACTTGCCGATCAGAAGGTCGGCGGTTCGAATCTCTGCGACGGGGTGAGCTCCCGTTGCTCGGTCCCTGCTACTGCCCACCTAGCAGTTTGAAAGCACGTCAAAGTGCAAGTAGATAAATAGGTACCACTCCAGTGGGAAGGTAAACAGCGTTTCCATGCGCTGCTCTGGTTCGCCAGAAGCGGCTTAGTCATGCTGGCCACATGACCCAGAAGCTGTACGCCGGCTCCCTCGGCCAATAAAGCGAGGTGAGCGCCGCAACCCCAGAGTCAGTCATGACTGGACCTAATGGTCAGGGGTCCCTTTACCTTTATTGTGTCGTCCCAGTGATTTATTTTTAAATACTTTATATCCTGCCTCCTTTATCCTCCTCGCGCCCCAAAGCGAATCAGAGTTGGCTTGCACCAAAGCAGATTGTGCAGTGGAATAGAATTTATAGTGTGAGAAAGAAGACCTCAAAGCTCATTTTGCTGATTTAAAGGAATCCACTGTGATAGCATTCCTGCTAGATGGCTATTCAGCAATGAATAAGAAATACATTATAACCTTACTGGAAAACCAAACACCATCAGTTTTGGAGGTTAACGTTGCTTAAATAACAAGAGCATCAGAAAACCCGGTTAAAAGACTTCTGGGATAGTCTTGCCTTCTCTTTGCCAGGCCTCTAGAAGAGTATGAAGTGTGGGTCCTGACAAGCTTTCCTTGGAAAGTTATTCATAGAATCACAAAATTGTAGAGTTGGAAAGGGACCCCAAGGGTCATGTAGTCGAACCCCTTGCTTGCAATGCAGGGAACTTGGCTAAAGCCTTCATGGCAGATGCCCAAACAATCTATGCTTAAAAACCACCAGCGAAGGAGAGTCCATAGGTAGGTGCTGTTATCAAAAAAGCCTGGCTTCTAGTAGCTGTTCATGGTATGTCATTCGGCAATGGGAGAGAGCAAAGGTGGAGATGGAGAAGGAATATAAAGGAGGAGCCTGAAGATACACGGGTCCCAAGAATACTCGAGGTGGTAAAAAGAAGTTTGTGTAGTTTTAATCTCGCCACTGCCAACATGTAAAGAAGCGTCTCCACCCCCGTCATTCTGCCTGGACACTGAAGTCCAGCACTAAGGGCCTTCTGGCGGTTCCCTCACTGCGAGAAGTGAGGTTACAAGGAACCAGGCAGAGGACCTTCTTGGTAGCGGCACCCGCCCTGTGGAGCGCCCTCCCATCAGATGTCAAGGAAATAAACAACTACAGCGGACGCGCGGGTTGCGAACGTGATCCATGCGGGATGCACGTTCGCAACCCACAGCATTCGCAACCCGCGTCTGCTTTTGTGCAGGTTGCGATTTTGTGCTTCTGTGCATGCGCAAAGTGTGATTTAGCGCTTCTGCGCATGCACGATCGCTAAAACCCAGAAGTAACCCGTTCCGGTAATTCCGGGTTTCGGCGGTCCGCAACCTAAAAAAACGCAACCTGAAGCGGCTGTAACCCGAGGTATGACTGTATCTGACTTTTAGAAGACATCTGAAGGCAGCCCTGTTTAGGGAAGTTTTTAATGTTTGATGTTTTATCGTGCTTTTAATCTTCTGTTGGGAGCCGCCCAGAGTGGCTGGGGAAACCCAGCCAGATGGGCGAGGTATAAATAATACATTATATAATAAATTTATCATTACTATTATGGTTTTGTTACTCTGAGCTGACAGCATGAGAGACGTATTTGAGAGAGATATATTTGGGAGATGTTACTGCCACCACCCCTGTACCCCCCCCCCCATTCCTGAGCTCAGAGGAAACTGACGTTGTTCTCTGGACATCTTTGGGATTCACAAAGACACGAGCCAAACAGCCCACTCACTGCCTTTTGAGTTACACAAGGGAACTCGGCAGCGTGTGACAAAGCAGGCGGGTACGGGATTCAGAACCAAGTTCACTTCAAGCAGCTGCGCAAGGATAAATGCAATGCTTTATTCAGAAGGTTGCAGGTGTTCCCCCTCCCACACACACTTATGCGGGATTTATGTTCTGGGCTTATGCGGGATTTATGTTTGGGATTTAAGTGAAATTGCATAAAGTGGGGAACCACCCCACTTCAAAAGGGGAGGAGAGAGAGAAGGAGACTCATATACGCCGCTGCAGCTGTTGCCTGGAAGTTGCTCGGGGTCGCTGCCCAGCCTGTCCTGAGTCTTCCCATATTGAGGGCCACTGCCCGGCACACCTTTCCCCGCTCATTTCTGAGCAGCAGCCCTGAGCAAGAGAGGACCAATTAATTTATTAATTACGCGGTGACCCATGTAAACATGGTTGCATGCAAGTGGAGTGTATAACATAAGCTTAAGAACCCTTCGCCGATAAAATACAAGCTTAACAGTATATGGTGTACAGGCATACCTCGGGTTACAGCCGCTTCAGGTTGCGTTTTATTGGGTTGCGGACCACCAAAACATGGAAGTACCGGAACGGGTTACTTCCGGGTTTCAGCGGTCACGCATGCGCAGAAGAGCTAAATCGTGCTATGCGCAGAAGCGCTGAATCGCAACCTGCGCATGCGCAGATGTGGGTTGCGAACGCTGCGGGTTGGGAACGTGCATCCCGCACGGATCACGTTCACAACCCGAGTGTCCACTGTATTTGGGAGGTGGGAGTACAGAATAGAAAATGGCAAAGCCAGCTTGCCTCATGCTAATACCAACCATTAGAGTCACACACCTCACTAGCAGATTTCATCCAGGTATGCATGCCTTTTGCAGTTTACGATGCTTCAGCCAAATTGGAGCTGTTAGACCCAGGTCAAAAACCAGTTTAAAAAAATAAATCAATCAAAAACTGCCTGGATACAGAAAGGTAGATTTTCTGTCAGCTTTCCGTCAGAAGGTCCTGGGAACATATTCCACCAGCTCTGGAGGGTTATGTGCTGGAATATGTGCTCAGTGGATTTCTGCACAGTCACTGTGACCTTGACGCAGGTCTTGCATCAGACACGCAGGTGGCAAGATGAACTGATTTAATGAAACATCTTCCTCTGTGAAGACTGCACACGGAATTCTGAGCAAAAAGCCATTTTAAAATGAAGCTGAAAAGTAGGGTTCCTTTGCAGGAGGGGCAGGCAGAAGCCAGCCCCGAGGTACTTTGCAAATTCTTGCTCTGGAAAGCAGTAATGTTTCTTCCCATCCCCATTTGCGTATCTGTGTGATGATATCCTTTGCATGATGGGTTAAGCCAGAGTTATACTGGGGAAATGGACCAGAGGGACCATAATGTTGCCCCATTTTTCTATTTGCAACTACTGATGCTGCAGAAGAGGTGCTTCTGTTTCTGCCACCGATGAGAGACAACGCCTGAAACCAGCTCAGAATAGTATCTGAAGAATGCTCCGCCCCCATTGTTCAGCCAGGACACTGAGGCCCAGCTCTGAGGACCTTCTGGTGGTTCTCTCATTGCGAGATGTGAAACTACAGGGAACCTGGCAGAGGGCCTTCTTGGTAGTGGCACCTGCCCTGTGGAATGCCCAACTGACTGACCTTTAGAAGACATCTGAAGGCAGACCTAGTCCTGTTCAGGGAAGTTTATAATGGCTTTTAGGAAGTTTTTTTGTTGGGTTCCACCCCGAGTGGCTGGGGCAACCCTGTCAAATGGGCAGGGGTTGTTATTATTATTATTATTACAGTAGTACCTCGGGTTACAGACGCTTCAGGTTACAGACTCCGCTAACCCAGAAATAGTACCTCAGGTTAAGAACTTTGCTTCAGGATGAGAACAGAAATTGCGCAGTGGCAACAGGAGACCCCATTAGCTAAAGTGGTACCTCAGGTTAAGAACTGTTTCAGGTTAAGAACGGACCTCCAGAACAAATTAAGTTCTTAACCCGTGGTACCACTGTATTATTATTATTATTATTATTATTATTATTAGGAACCACCTTCTCCTGTAGGAACTTGCCCTTTCCCTGAGGTCCTCACTGAAGCTGTTTTCCAGGTTCCTCTTCCTTTGGGGAGGATAGACGGGTGGTCACTGGAGATAAATTGTCTTCATGGTAGTGCCCCAGCTTAGGGGATATTCTTTCCAGCAAGTCTTTTGGCAACCATCCTCCCAGTTTGCAGACACCGTGTTAAAACTCAGGCTGCTAAAGAGTTCTGAGGGTGCAGTCCTTTTGCATCCTTACTTGTGAGCAGCACCAGCTGAGCACAGTGTTACTCGCTTCCGAGTAAGGGGCAGGCTAGCATATGGATTCCAGTTGCTCATGAGGAAATAGCAGCAGCCCTGCAGTGCTTCGTTTTACAAGGTGATGCATGGATGTGTCACAGAGCAGGCATTTTTAATAGGCATTTGCAGGTAATTGCTTTAAAGGTGGCATTTGCCACCCACGATTTTTATAGGTATTAAAAATGGTAAAGAAAAGAAATATGACAGAGTGGAAGCCCTTGGCTTTTCAAGAGGATAAGATGTCAGTCCAGCAGCGACTTAAAAACAATTTCGTTCTGCTGAACTTTTGACAGGTAATAATAATGTGATAGGTCATTTGTTTCCTTCCTGTTACAATCACAGGGAGTTGCCTTGCACCAAGTAAGAGCTTTGGTCCATGTAACTAAGTACAGTTGTGCATGGGATCCATTCCAGAGCTCCGGTCGGATCCCGAGGAATTCGCAACCGGAGGTGCCTGTTGTGAGCATGCACATGCACAGTAGAGCGCTTCTGCGCATGCGCACCTGGCGAAACCTGGATTTGCCACGTGCATAACCCGAAGAATACGCAACCAGAGGTGTGCGTATCCAGAGGTACCACTGTATTGTCTACACCAGGAATGGGGACACTGTGACCCTCCAGAATGTTGGACTTCAACTCCCATCAACCCAGTCGTCTGGGATCATGGGAGTTGTAGTACAGCAACAATCTGGAGGGCCACAGGTTCCCCCTTCCCGGCCTACACTGACCACCAGCAGCTCTCTAGGATTTCAATGAGAGATATCTTCCACTACAGTGGTACCCTGGGTTAAGAACTTAATTCGTTCCGGAGGTCTGTTCTTAACCTGAAACAGTTCTTAACCTGAAGCACCACTTTAGCTAATGGGGCCTCCTGCTGCTGCTGCACCGCCGGAGCACAATTTCTGTTCTCATCCTGAAGCAAAGTTCTTAACCCGAGGTACTATTTCTAGGTTAGCAGAGTCTGTAACCTGAAGCGTATGTAACCCGAGGTACCACTGTACTTACCTGGATATTCTGGGAATTGAACCTAAAGGCCCTTCTGCAAGCAGCGCATGTGTTCTGTCACTAGGCTGTGGCGCTGCTGGCTCTGTGGCTGTGTGTTCCACTTTCAGAATGTATGTGACTGACTTGTAAGTTGTAAGTTGCGTGGAAAACCTGATGGTGCAAAGGCAAGTCATTAAAGAGGAACTAAATCGAGAAAACCAGACCGACTTCTTGTAGCCAGAGATCGCGCAGGCAATATTTTGTTTTCATTCTTTCATCGGATTCATGAAATAGAGTGTTAAAATTGAGGTGTGCACTGAGCAAAAGGGTCATTGCAGGATCAACCAAGCAAACCACGTGAGGAGGCACAAGATGGTAGGAACATGGAGAACACAGCCTGGTCATCTGGGGGCGTGAGACATGAATGTCATCCATAATCTAAACAGCTGCTACAGCATCAAAGCATATAACCTCTTGTCCTCAAAAGCCATGGTAAGGCAGCTACTCCCCAGAGACGCTGCAGTGCCTTTTTGCCTTTGATAAAGACCAGCCCAGTAACTCTCCTGGAATTTTGTTCCTCCTCTTGAAACGCTACACCCCACTTGGAAGTCCTACTAGTGCCAGGCAAAATGAGCAATTTCCTTCTGGTGTGAGCTGGCAGCAGGGCAAGGGTGAAGTTTGGTAAACAGCCACGGCTATTTTGTGCTGCGACGGTTCTGCAACTGGATTTCTGTCAATGGGTGTTTGGAGCTCGCTTTGGGAGACCCTGCGAGATCCTGTTTGGGGAAGAACCTTTGACCACATGCCTTCTGTGCTGAATATCCCAGAATATTCAATTGCTGGTGTCTCCAGCAATCGCCCCCTGCACAAAACCCCCAAATTGCTACTGCTAGTCAAGAGTAGTAGTAGTAGTAATAATAATAATAATAATAATAATAATAAATTTATTATTTATACCCCACCCATCTGGCTGGGTTTCTTCAGCTACTCTGGGCGGCTCCCAACAGAATATTAAAAACACGATAAAACAAACATTAAAAACTTTCCTAAACAGGGCTGCCTTCAGATGTCTTAGAAGTCGTGTGCCTTTTAGAAATCAAATACAGTGGTACCTCTAGATGTGAATGGGATCCGTTCTGGAGCCCCGTTCGCATCTAGAAGCAAACGTAACCCGTGTCCGTGCGTCTGCGCATGTGCGGGTCACGTTTTGGCGCTTCTACGCATGCGCATGATGTCATTTTGAGCGTCTGCGCAAGCGACGAAACCCGAAAGTAACGCGCTCTGTTACTTCCGGGTTGCTGCGGAGCGCAATTCGAACGCGCTCATCTCAAAGCACATTCAACCGGAGGTATGACTGTACAGTCAAGCCTCTTCTTACGTCCGCCTCCGCTTGCGTCCATTTTGCCCAACATCCACGGCAAACCCAGAAGTAACCGGCGGGTTTGCCGCCGTTCGCACATGCGCTGGAGTGTTGATCGCCGTTCACACATGCGCAGAAGCGGCAATTGCTGTTCGCACATGTACAGGAGCGTCAATTGCTGTTTGCACATGCGCAGAAGCGGACAGTCATCACCTGCGCACAACAGCGCCTCTCCCAGCAACCCGTTTCGACTTCCAGACGGGCCTCCAGAACGGATTGTGGTCATAAGTAGAGGTTCCATCATAGTTGTTTATTTCCTTGACATCTTATGGGAGGGCGTTCCACAAGGCGGGTGCCACTACTGAGAAGGCCCTCGGCCTGGTTCCCTGTAACCTCACTTCTCACAGTGAAGGAACCGCCAGAAGGCCCTTGGAGCTGGACCTCAGTGTCTGGGCTGAACGATGGGGGTGGTGACACTCCTTCAGGTATAGACAACACTGAGGTAGATGGACCAATGTCAGCTTTCTACATTCCTGTCCGTGACCTCTTCTTCCTTCCCTCTTCTTCACCACAGGGTGTTCCTGCAGGAAATACTGTCCCAGGGCCCTTGCGAGCTGCTGCTGGTTGTGCCCCATGAGTCGAGCGAAGCTGGGAACTGGCTGAGCACAGTCAGGTGACCCCTGGCGCCTATGGATCCACGTTGGGGCCTGCCCTGAAGCACTCTGCCCCACCCTGTTGTGCTGGCTGCTGCATGCGTTGTGGGGAAGGAAGAAGTTGCACGTCCTCCCGTTTCTACACTGCCAGTCTGGGAGTGACAGTACGAGATCCGTCCTCCTCCCCTCTCCAGGAAATAGGAGTCCCCAGCTTCCCCCTTGCTTTTTAAAGACTTGGTCTGTCCTGGGACAGTGTGGAATAAAGGATGCAGTGCCCAAATGGTGGCAGGTCTCCTGGCGCAACCAGTTAAGACCTGTGAGATTAGTCATGCTATGTCTTCCAACAGCAACCAACCAGATCTTTGAAGGGTGTGTGTGTGTATATGTGTCTAGCTCTACAGGCAGGCTATGATGGTTCTGTCCAACCCTTGTGCGTTTCCTGGCATGTGGCAGTCGGTGATATAAATGTGTCTGACTACCCGGTTCTGCTTCCAGCCACTGTGGCATAGCAGACCTCTCTTCTCTGCTTATACGTGATCCCTTTCGTGAAAAGCCATTTCTGCTAGTGTATCACAGCGAGTTCCTTGGGCTAAGTGAGGACTTCCTTTGCCTTTTGCCTTAAATCTGCTGCCTCTTCATTTTGGGGCGATCGCTTCTCGGCCTTTTGGCTAAGATCAAGTGTAGTTTCATTTTGGGGCGAGGTGTTGGGTGCCTCCAAAAGGGTCCACTCTGGAGGATATTGGGAGGGGCAGTTTGCAGGACATCTCATTTTCTTTTTTTTCCCTGCAGAAGGCCGTAGGAATGATATCTGGGGTTAAGAACTCTCGAGTTGGCTGTCTTGACGAGCGAAGTTGGGAAAGAGGGAGAAAAGGAGTGTGAAAGTGCAATTTTGCTAGCACGTCCAGGGAACCGGGGTGAAGTTGGCTAGAGGAATTATTGGGCTGGAGTCACAGATTGGCTTGCACAGAGATGCAAGGCTGCAAGTACTTAACCCCTGGGCCCGTAATTGCTGGCTAACATAAATTCAACCAGGAAGCTTCTCCCAACAATGTTAGGTGTTGGGGAAAATCTGTCTGTTGGATTTCTATCTGTTCCAAAGCACAGGTTGGATTGGGGTAGGGGGATAAGGTAGGTTTTTGTTTTTATTTTTGTGGGTGGAGGGAGTCTTCTTAAAGGAAAAGGTGTGTTTCTCATCCTCCAGCAGGAAAATTGCAAAGGGGTACATGACATTCCTTGCAGTAGGTCAGAAATGAGTGGGAGCTGCGCAGCTTTTCTGCAGCGGTCAGGAAGTGAGGCTAGTACCTTGCCCAGCTCTCTCTCTCTCCCCCCCACCCCCGGTAATAATCCTTCCAGTTTTTATGCTTTGTTTAGCAATGTGTGCTGTCCTTTTCCTGACAAGGAAAATATCCCCCCTCTTCCAAAACACAAGAACCTTTTTAAGTTCTCGGAAAACCGAAAAAGAAGGAAAAAACTAAACGATGCAAAACCAATAAAACGTGTGCTGGAGTTTGTGATTGTTCGGCGTGGAATGTATTTTTCTTCTTCCCTGGAATGGGCGGAGGGAGTCACACCTGCTTGCATAGGGAGAGTCAGCCTCTTGTTTTGGAAGAGTCACTGTGACTGTGTCGGGGAATGCATGAGTGGAGTGGGAAAGGTTGCCTATTGCAGGTAAGAAACCAGTTCTGTGTTGCTAATTATATTAGTGAGTGAGTGTTTGTGTGTCCCCACCGCTTCACAGATGAAAACAGAGACACTCTTTTCGTATGCTGGTGCTAGCCCTCTTTTTTCATCAAAGTATATTTATTTATTCATGTACGTTTAGGGTTGCCATATTTCAAACAGTGAAAATCCGGACAGAAAAGTTGTTGAGCTTTTTCTTTTTCTTTTGGGGGGGGGGCGCAAAATCACTTTTAAAAAATGCCATTTTTGAGCTATTTTTATGGATAAATGGCAAAACCCCCACTGAAGACATGGGCTGCTAAAATCCAGACGTATGGCAACCCTATGTATCTTTATTAAAATATCTATATCACTCTTCCTCTAAGGACGTCAGGCCAGTTTTCAATACAAAAACACAAAAACGCTTAAATATATATAAAAAAAAACCCACACCCCCATTTTAAAAGACCATTGATTGTTCAATTAGCCAAATGTCTAGAAGAAGAATAATGTTTTTGCTTGGTGCCTAAATATCTGTAATGAAGGTGCCGGGCGAGCCTCCCTGGGGAGACCATTTCACAAGCAGGGAGCCACCACAGAAAAGGCCCGTTCTCCAGACCTGTTGCGGAAGAGGCACATGAGGAAGGGCCTCAGGTGATGATCGTGGGGGTCCTGGTCACTACCATTGGCTTAGCCCCTTCCTGCCCCCCCCTTATCTATTGCATTTGTTTATTAAACTGAAGAGCTACTAAACAGAAGAGGTCAAAGGCTGGGTCTCTGCTTTTCCAGAAGGCAAAGCTAGGGTCACATTCATGCCATGCATTTAAGGCACTGTGATATCACTTTATAAACAGGCATGGCTTCTTCTGAAGGATTGTGGGAGCTGTAGTTTGTTAAGGATGCAGTTGTTAGGTGGCCCCTATTCCTCTTCTAGAGCTTTGATTCCCAGAGAAGAGGAATTGATTTCTATACCACCCTGGAATTTGGAGCTCTGCCAGGGGAATAAGGGTCACCCAACAACTCTTAAAGGGTAAAGGTAAAGGGACCCCTGACCATCAGGTCCAGTCGTGACCGACTCTGGAGTTGCGACGCTCATCTCGCTTTATTGGCCGAGGGAGCCGGCATACAGCTTCCGGGTCATGTGGCCAGCATGACTAAGCCGCTTCTGGCGAACAAGAGTAGCACATGGAAATGCCGTTTACCTTACCACCAGAGCGGTACCTATTTATCTACTTGCACTTTGCGGTTTCGAACTGCTAGGTTGGCAGGAGCAGGGACAGAGCAACGGGAGCTCACCCCGTCATGGGGATTCGAACCGCCGACCTTCCGACCGGCAAGCCCTAGCCTCTGTGGTTTAGACCACAGCGCCACCCGCGTCCTAACAACTCTTAAGCACCTTGAACAAACTACATCTCACAAATGTAGGGCCATATCTTCCAACAGGTGAAAATAGGGACATTTCTCAGTCTTCTCCTCGCCTGCTCTCCAGCAGCTGTTACAACCTTCCCAAGGAAGGAGGCTGGCAGCAGAGGCTGTGTAATTCCAAGATAGTCCCTGGAAAACCGTGACGCTTGGAGGGTATCCTGGCATGAATGTGGTCTAGATCTTATGGGCTTAAGTTACAGGAGTGCAGATTTTGAATGACCTTTGGGAGAAATGCTCTTAACTGGGAAGAGCAGTTTTACAGTGAAACGAGAGGGGTGGCTGGAGGTGTTTTGGCAAAGTCTGGGCAGCTATATGTCCAGGAGGAGGTTCAACTGGATGGCCCCCAATAAGGATGGGGACCTTTTGGGGGTCACAGGCCAGATATTTATGAGCCCCCCCCCTTCCACTGCCTATCAGTCGCCTGGTGGCATCAGGGGATTTGGTGCTTTGAAGTCCCAAAGAGGTTTTGCCTTGAAACAGCTGCGAAAGCGAAGACCCTTTTTATTTTGCTGCCTCTGAGCTGCTTTGAAGTCCAAACTCACTTTAATCCCTCGGTTTTGGTAGGATTTAGTGCAAGCCCCTTGCCGATGGAGGAAGGGGTTTTGTGCTGAAACTGCTTCTGAAATGGAAAGGCGGCGGGGAGGGAACTTTGCTCTAACGGGGGTTTCCATTCCGCTTAGACCCGGGTTCCACGCTTTATGTTGAGTGCCTGGTGAGTGGGCCTGCCTTGCCTGGGACAGCCTCACTGGCCAAATTTGGTGTGAGGGGCCAGAGTTTCCCCACTTTTAAAAAAAAATGTTTAAAATATTATTTTTTTACCAACACCCAAAACACAAACAGTGAACCCCCCCCCCAGGCGGCTGGTACATTGGGTATACATCATCAATAATAACATCATCAAATCAACCATATGTACAATTTTATATACGTTAACACTCCTGCATCCACAAGGTTTATTTAACTTTCAACATTTTAATTGCCCCAAATTGTTCAAACCTACCCAAATAATTCAATATCTTCTCAAACCAAACTTCCTCTTTCTCACTGACCTTAAACCCTTTCATTCTGTGCATCTTTGCAGTTAGATATTCTAAAATTATAATATTATTCAGTTTTCCCCTCCATTGGTTCACCCCTAACTCTTCTGCATTTTTCCAATTACTCGCTATAACCTATCTGGCTGCAGTTACCATCAATTTTACCCGTTTACATTCCTCTTTTGTTTTTAACTCGGTACTACTCAGACTAATAAGAACCATTAATTTAGATATTCCCACCTTCCTACCCACAATTCCCGATATTTGTATACCAATCTGCTTCCAAAATTCATTAACTAATGGACAATCCCACCACATATGACTGTATGTTCCCATCACGCCACTTAAGGCTCTATGAGGGCGCTTCCAACTCTGTTGTGGTGCAGTGGGTCAGTGGATCTGGTCGTTAACCAGAAGGTTGGTGGTTTGAGCTCACCCAGGGACGGCTGTGGGCTGCATTGCTTGGGGTTGGACTAATGACCCTCAGAGTCCCTTTCCAACTCAACAATTCCATGATTCTGCGGTAGCCTCTTCTGCCCTTCCTCCTCCTGTGTTGTGTAGGAGCAAGGTGACCATAACTGCATCCTCATATAAAGGTAAAGGTACCCCTGCCCGTACGAGCCAGTCTTGACAGACTCTGGGGTTGTGCGCTCATCTCACTCAAGAGGCCGGGAGCCAGCGCTGTCCACAGACACTTCCGGGTCACGTGGCCAGCATGACGAAGCTGCTCTGGCGAGCCAGAGCCGCACACGGAACGCCGTTTACCTTCCCGCTAGTAAGCGGTCCCTATTTATCTACTTGCACCCGGGAGTGCTTTCGAACTGCTAGGTTGGCAGGCGCTGGGACCGAGCAACGGGAGCGCACCCCGCCGCGGGGATTCGAACCGCCGACCATGCGATCGGCAAGTCCTAGGCGCTGAGGTTTAACCCACAGTGCCACCCGCATCCCTAATGCAGTTAAGGTGACCATAACTGCATCCTAATATAGGAACACTTTAATCACTCGCTGAATCTGTTTATAGACGTAATTGCAAAACGCTACAGTTCTAACATCCAGCAATATGTTAGAATTGGGGACAGATGGCTATGGCTGGTGAGGGGGCAGGGTAATTTCATTCCGTTCTCGTTTAAAGGCGAACCCACCTCATTCGCCGTTTTCAAAACAAGATGTAATTTGAAACATGACCGTCCTTTCACAATGTGTGGTTTTCCAAAGTTTGCAATGCAGTTCCCCAGCCAAGTAATGTGCACACAAATACACAGAATCAGGTGCACGTAGTCAAAATTGCATGCAGTGGTATAAAGAGAAATTCGTATGAAACTGCTTCTGAAGTTTCATGAAGGTTTTTCTTTTTTAAAAAAAAGCAAATTGATGTGGAGAACTGAATTTAAGATTGGAAAAATGGGAAACACAGAACCCGCAAATTTACATGTTCCTCTATCATGGTGGAAGGGAGCAGATCTGTGTCCCTATGCACCAATTTACATGTGGCAAATGTTGAGAGGCCAAGGTATGTCTGCCCTCTTCCATCAGCTGCTTAACTTTTTGAAAACACAGAAGGTTGGATTCTTGACTAACTTGAATGAATGCTCGTTGTTATGTACTGAAGTTCTCACCCTGGGCCAGCAGGGGGATACTGTAGATAGTTATGCAAATGAAGGATCGAAAAGTGACGTTCAGTGATTGGATAGTTTTGTATGCAAATGAAGGATCGAAAAGTGACGTTCAGTGATTGGATAGTTTTAGAAAAGGGCAACAGTTACATTGTTCTGGAGCTCTATATAAGCAGGCTGACTGAGCTCCTCAGTTTAGTTCTGTTCTGGCATCTGAATAAAGAAGAGCTGCTTGAAGAATCGCTGTGTCGTCTGATATGTTTGCCCACAACTTAACACTCGTGATCGTCGTTTTTGAAAAAGGAAATGATCTCTTTTAGCTTCTGCCTTCTCTTTAGCTTCTGCCTGGAAGAAGGTATAGGGTTATAAAGGCCAGGACTAGCCGCCTGAGAAACAATTTCTATGCAAATGCAATTCTGGTTCTAAACGCAGCATAAGGGGGTTCTATAGTATAGTGTATTTTAAAATGTGGTTTTAGAGTTTTTAGGGGGTTTTGAATGTTTTATGTAGTTTTTATGTAGTTTTATGTAGTTTTTCAATTTCATTGTCCTGCATGAGACAGTGACAATAAAGATATATCGTATATCGTATCTTCCCCAGAAGGCAAAATGAACAAAACTGAGAGGGATTTTTCCACCCACAAGTATCAAGAAACAGAAATTTCCCCTATTTATGAAAGGGTCACTTGGAGTACCTGGGTGTTTTGATTGGTGTGGTGATGCTGGTGGGGTCAGCAGCAGGTGGGTAGCAAGTTGCACACATTCAGCGTTTCTTACCAGG